GCGACGCACGCATTCAAGAAGTCCAAAGCCTGGGGGATTTATTAATCAAAGGCCGCTGGAACTGCGCCAAGACTGCACGGATTTACTTCCAGGACGGCGTGGCGACCTTGAGCCAGCACGTCTTCCCGCACCGCATCAATCTTTTCCTCCACCAGCTGGCAGGGACCCTTCGGCCACGGCATCCCCGATTTTGACGTCTTCCGTCGTCGGCTTCGCCAGAATGGGAGCGTGGTGGAGGGCTTCCTGGGGGTGCTGCAGGTCGCCGTCGCTTCGTGCGGCGGCGGCCGATTGCACCCGCTGGGGCTGGCGAGCAGCCTTGGGGGACGGAGAGCGCCTTGTAAGGCCCTCGTCTGGCCGCTGGCTGCGCTCGCGCAGGCGGCTCTCGGCGTGTCCGGGGGCTGTCGCTGCGGGCGCGGCCGCCGCCCGCTCCTTTTTAAGGAGCGCCCACATACTGTACCTGAACTTCCTGCGTGGTGCCTGCGGAGTGGTAAAAATGGCGCACCACAGGAGTCGGAGGAGAGAGGAGCACTAGATTGACGGGAACCGGTGTTTAGTGCGACGATCAATCGACTCCGCAGCTGCGACGGCCTCCATCCTCCCCGACCGCCACCGTTGGAATCTGAGCTCCCGAGGGCTTCATGGGGGTGCTGCAGGTCGCTGTCGCTTCGCGCGGCGGCGGCCGATTGCACCCACTGGGGCTGGCGAGCAGCCTTGGGGGACGGAGAGCGCCTTTTCAGGCCCTCGTCTGGCCGCTGGCTGTGCTCGCGTAGGCGGCTCTCGGCGTGTCCGGGGGCTGTCGCTGCGGTTTAAAGAGCGCCCACATACTGTACCTGAACTTCCTGCGTGGTGCCTGCGGAGAGGCAAAAATGGCGCACCACTGGAGTCGGAGAAGAGAGGAGCACTACCCTTCAAAGCTTCAAAGGAGCCCCCTACCTTCTCTTCGCACTCACTCGCGAACCTTGCCCTTGCGGGTCCCGCCGCCGTTGGGGCGTTATCGGATGCCTTCGCTGGGGTTCGCTGAGGCCTGGCCAGTCTTTCAGACATCCGACCTGCAGGGGTAGAGCTTCACATGTGGTTGCCTATGTTCGGAAGGCGCCTTCACCCCGTCGCCGTGCCCTGGAGGGCCCTCGTCGCCCTCGTCGGCTCGGATCCTTGCGGGCCTTCCGGCCGTGGGGGCGGCCGCCAGTCGGGCTCTGCCAGCGATATCTAGTCCCAGGCTTGGGACGAGCAAATCGCTGAGCAGGGAGCCGAGCCGACCTCGCACAGCTCTCCCGTGGTGCCTCCTTGGATAGGATTTGAAAGGGAACCCAGCCATGGCGACGAGAAGCCCACCAGAGGCACAAATAGGGCGAAACAAGTTCGAATGCCGAGTTCCTCGACTGGAGCCCAGTCTCTCCCTGCCTCCTCATCGTCCGTTTCCTCCGTTTCATTCTCCCCCCTCTCCTTTCCCTTCTCTCCCCTCCTCCTGCCCGGGCTCCCGCGATGGCGCGGGGGCCCGAGCTTTTCTTTTCGAATAGCATCTCCTGCTCGGGAGTGCCAAGAGTTACTGGCACTTTCCCAGGAGGAGGAGGAGGTGGAGGAGGTGGAGGAGGAGAAAAGGGAGGACAAGGGGGATAGCAGAGAAGAGGGGGGCACGAAGAGGATCAGTGAGGAATCCACAGCGCTTCATCCCTTTTCGCGCGCACGCGCCGAAACGATTTCGCTCGAACGGCCGCAGATTTCGCGCGAACTGCGCACTTGCGGATGGGGGGATGGATGAGCTCTAGGGGAGGGAGGGAGGAAGGGAGGGAGGGCAGTGGGAGCAGAAGGAGGGGGGAGGAGGGGAAGAAAGAGAACAAGACGGAGGAGGGACAGGAGGATGAGCAGGAACGGGAGGACGGCGAGGAGGACGCTAAAGAAGGCGAGGATAAGAAGAGGAAAGAACGAGGAGGAACAGGAGGTGGAGTAAGAGGAGGACAGGAGCAGGAGGAGTCGTAGTAAGAACCAGCAGGAGGAGGAAGAGTGGTAGGACAACGATTGCCACAAAAATGAGCAAAACAACGAGGAGAACGAGGACGAAGAGTTTGAGGAGGAGGAGGAGAAGGAGGAGGAGGAGGAGGAGGAGGAGGAGGAGGAGGGGGAAGTAGGGTAAAGCTCCGTTTATAGTTGAGACAAAGTCAGATGATCGGAGGAGACGAATAGGGGCTTCCCCGACACAAAACCTCGGCATCCCATGACGTGGGGAGCGGGCTAGCGACGCAACCTTTCGACGTTCGTCGGCACACGGCCGATCGCTTACAACGCCAGTTGTTGCTTATCCCTGGGCGGGGGCGACAGTCAACGCCTGCTCCTCGAGCTCAAGGAACGGCACCCTGGAGAAGCGAGACCGCCACGGCTTCTAGCCCAGGGTCAGCAATCGAAATCATGAGCCTGCGCTGCTCAGAATCTTAGTTTTCCGTGCGTCCTTATGAGCGTGTACGCTCTATCCAGGTACCAAGACTTGCGCGGGCGGCCAGCCTGGGCCGCCGCCCGTGGCGCACCTTGCCGCCCTGGTATGCCGCCTCACGGCTAGCACCACCCAGGTGCGCGCCGCCGAGCAGGCCCTTGCGACCCACTCAGCAGCCCAGAGCCCGCCGGGGACAGCGGAGGTTGACACTGCGGGGAGCGGTGGCTCCGTCCATCCAGCATGCCCTGGTTCGCAGCACCATCTGGAACGACCGAGTGCTGCTTTCCCCCCCCCACTGGTTCCTCCCAGCCCCCTGGCTCCGCATTGGCCTACCAGGCCCTCTTCGCAACCGCTTACGCGGCTTTTTGCCGCCCCATGGGCCGGTCTACAAGACCTTCTGCAACCGTCTCCGCGGCTTTCCGTCCACCCTGGTCGATCTGCCAGATCGTCGCCACGTCATCAGGCCCCACGGCCACCCTGGTCCCTGCTGCCCAGGCTCGCCGCACGCAGCCTGGTCTGCCGCCGCGCGCGGCCATTGCTGTGCACCCGCGCGCGGCGGCAGCTCTTTCCTCTCCCCTCTCCTCCGCTCCTCGTTTTGCCCCCCGCTCCCTTCGCGCCAGCCCGCAATGGCGGACCGCGCGCGGCGGCGGCTCCCTTCTCCGCCCCGGTTCTCCGCTCCTTTTCCTGCCCCACACGCTCTCTTTTCGCCAGCCCGCCATGGCGGGAGATTGCCGCGGGCCTCCCGCCCTCTGCTGCACGCGACAGGCACCTCCCGCACAGCTGCGAGTTGCGGGTCGCATGAGCCTGGCTCGCAGTTCGCGGGGCTCCAACCACGCGCTGCACTCGCACCCCCATGGCAGCTCGGTGGCAGTTCGTGCTCGCCGTCGTCCTTGTCGCCTGAATGGACAGAATCTCTGCTCCAGCCTTGCAGTCGACAGCACCACCCGAACCAAAACGCAGCTCACCGTTTCGACATGCTCCATCGCAGCGTGCATGTTGCACCACAGGTTGTTATCCCTGGTTCTCCTCAAGCCCGCTCGGGCAAACATCGCTCTTCCCTGGCAAGACCACACAGCGCACCCACTCCCCCTGGTTAGTCCAGGTCGGAGCACCCGCTTACCTCGCACACGACTCTTACCCGGAGCTTGAAACCGTGACACAGCTCACGAAGACCTAGATGGCCTGAGTGCGTTGCCCCTCTTTTTCCCATCCGCGGCCGCCCTCTTCTGCCTCCCGCCCGCTTGTGTACACTTTGCCTTGCAGCGACCCCTCGTAAGCTTTGACCGCGCTTCGCGTCCGCCAGCACTGCGATTAAAAAAGTGTGGCTCTGAAAGTGGAGCGGCCGCGGCGCTTTTCATGGCGTCTCCGCGCGCTGTGGCTTACATTTGGTGTAGCATCAGAGAGGCACTGCGCGCCATGGAGCATTGCATATAGAGGATGACGGCAATGACGATATTGTGGAGGAGCAGTTGAAAGAGTGTTTTTGTAACGCCCTGGCGATGAGGAGCTCGACGACCAGGGATTGGAGCTGGCGCGCCCGCGCGGCAACATCTGTTGCGGCTACCCCGCGCAGTTCCCCATGAAAGAAAAGGGTCCTGCGGGCAATGGGTCCTGGGCCGTGGAGCTTTCCCCGAGAACAGATTGTCCTGGACCGTTTCTGACGGTGCCCGGGCCCTTGAAGGGCCCAGACAGGCCGAAAATGGCGAAGACTTTGAGGGCCTTTCGCCTTCAGGGACCTTCTTCCTCATGGCGAGTCCTGAAAGATGCTGGCCTATGAATCACGGCTCGATCGGGCCGCCGATCCACTCGGATCCAGCGATCGATTTTGATCGCGGCGGTCGACCAGGGGGGGGGGCTGGGGTGGTGCACCAGGCCGGGTTTGCCGGGATCGGGGCCGTAAGTCGGCATGGACTAGGAGGCATCGATCACGGCCTATCCACCCGATCCGCCCATCTATCCGATCCACCCGATCGGCCGTCGAGCCGCAGATCCACCCGATCCAGCGATCGAGCGTTGTCGGAATGTTCAGTCTGTTACCCTAACAGTTGGAAGTAGAGTAATGCTTTGCCCACCTGTCGGGAACTGTCCGACAGCCCATGGAACTCGGGGGGCCTTGGGCGCTGTAAGCGCAGGGAGACTTTGAACTCGAAGAGACCGCCGATCCGACCGAGCCGTCGGTCGACAAGGATGGGGGCCTTCGGCCAGGCGGCACTAGCTCTGCGCAAATCTTGGCGCTCACTAGGGCCAGGTGTACTCGGGCCAGGACCTTGTACCAGCCATAAAGACAAGGGACCTTAAGGGAAAAGGATCCTCATGACGAGAACGACTGGGGCGAGGACGACAAGCAGGACGACAACGACGACCATCACGACGACGACCACGACGACAACGACGACGACGATCACGAAGACCACCGCGACCACGACGACGACGACGACGACCAGAACAAACACCATGACGATCACGACGACGTTCGCGTCGATGACCACGACGAGGACGAAGACGAAGGCGAGGACGACCTCGACAAAGAAGACGGTTGCGACGGCAGCAGCAGCAGCGACGACGCGACGACGAGGGGACCCCGAGCGTCTGGAGGTGCGCCGCGCGGTCGAGCAGCGCCTGTGCGAGGCATGAAGCGCCGAGCTGCTCCCGCGTTTTGCAGGACTGGGGGGCGCGGGGCGCGTCGCCGTCAACGTCGCCGTCGTCACCGTTCTCGCCGCCGTCGCCGCCACCGGCCGCCGTCGTCTTCGTCAGATTCGTCGCCGTCGTCGTGGACAGTGTCGCCGTCGTTTCGAGACATGAGAATATCAGAAGTCTCGGATGGTCTAGGCCTTTTCTGGGGCCTCCGGGGGGGCTCTCGTCGCTGCGGCTGACTTCTGGTCGGAAGTCAGAGTGGAACGTGCATTAGGAGAGGTCGTGGGGCTCGTCTTCCTCCTCCTCCTCCTCATCATCCTCATCCTCCTCATAATCATCATCAGCATCATCATCCTCATCTTCATCCTTCCTCCTCATCCTCCTCCTGCTCTTCGCCCTCCTCCTCCTCGTCGTCCTCCTCGTCGGGGGGGCATGGGCATGAACGATGCTACAACACACCATCCAGTCCCAAGTCCCCTCCTCACAAGTCCCTACGTGCAGTGCTTGTCACAACGGCAACCTCCCCATTGAAAAACGAGTGCCCCATGAGTTTGCCGTTCAAGCGAGAGCCCCGTTTGAAAAGGGATTTTCTATCATCCTTCCAGCTATGAGAAGCGCTTAGAAGTAGAATCACAACGTTCATCGAAGCGTGCAGCGAGAGCCCGGTTTTGAAAAGGAGTTTCCCTCCGTCTGCGATTCTCCAGGAAAATCCTCGCATTCGGCATGTCCTCGTCATCGGCGGCAACCAGCGGAAGGCTGCGGAAACAAAACGGCGGCGGGTCCATTGGCGGAAGGCGGCGGAAGTAAAAGTGAGAGGTCAGCATTCTTAGATCCAGGGTTTCTGGAGTCGGACATCTATGAACCTTCTGGACCATGTAGAATTTCTGGCCCGAAAAGTTACCGAAGTCTCAATCGATAGTTCCATGCTCAAGAAGGCCGTAAGCTCCGGATATGTTGCATGCGAGAGTCTCAGATTGAGATCGAACTGCCCTCCATCCCTGTAGCTGTTGTTGTTGTTGTAAGAGTGTGACACGACTGCGCGCGGCGAAGGAGGAGACCCCATTATGAAAACAGGCCGCCCCCCACCCCGTGTGGCCGTTGGAAGTATTGAGGCAATTGTGCGCGGCGTAGGTCGATAACCATGCTTTGAAAAACAATGCGATGCTCACGCATGTAGGTATTGAAAATTCGTATGGCGATTGCACGTGGAGCTGAAGCGATAGCCACACGTTGAAGACCACTTGTCCTCCAACTACGCAACGCTTGAAACTCTCAAGCTTCAGGATCATGCAAGGTGATGAAGGCGTCTTCGAAACGCCTGGCCCGCACTACCAATACGCCTGGCGGTGCGACGTGCACGGCACATTTCTGGAGTCACTTAGCAATATATGACAGCATCCAGAGCACAGGCGATCGCATTAGAGGAGGATATGATATTTAGGACGACGAGGAAGAAAGAGGAAAGAAGGAGGAGGGAGGGGCAAAAGAGTTGGGGTCAGGAACAGACTACAGTCGCGAGGCTCTGTCGTAACACTCGCACACGTGACAGGAACACAAGCAAAGGCGGAGACAGAGAGATGGAGACAGGAACAGAGAGAGGGACAGTGCAGCAAAAGAGGGAGAGAGAGAGAGAGAGAGATACTGTAATGAGGTATTGTCCAGGAACGCGAGTGAGACAGGCAGAGACAGACACAGGGACGGATGAAAAGCGAGACACGGACGCAGTTGTTTTCGTTGTTGCGCGAAGTCTTAGGTCATACTTGAGAGCCCACCCCTAATGCGGACACCGAGCCCCCGGAAGGTAGACAGTGGCAACATGGACGCATACGTTGAGTTGAGATCAACATTTTATACGACAGTTTCGCGTAGCTGGTCGGACTTACCGAGCGCTTTGAGCCAACGTCGAACGCTCCGAATGGCCGAAATGCGTTGCAGTAGGCTACTGAGCTAGATTTCCAATTGGCTGGCGTTCCTTCCTGTGTCGGCATGGGTTCTTTCTGGGTTGCATGCAGTCTTGATTGCATCGTGGGATATGCAGTGTTCCCAGCTGTGTGACAGTCCCGAAACAGTGCTTGCACTGAGGAGTATTTATCCCGCTTCCAAGGAACTAGGCCCGTTGGCGGCCTCGGCGGCCCCGTTCCCGCTTGTCGCCGTTCACTTCTTCCACATAAAAGACCCGTTGACGGCCTGGGCGGCCCCGTCCCAGGCCGTCGTTGCCGCCCCGCTGCATTGCACTTCTATAGCAGTGTACGACAGTGCTTTGCAGTGCATTGGTTCGCATTGCTTTTCATCGCATTGTGTTGCATTGATTCGCATTGCTCCACATGTCTTTGCATTGCGTCGCATAGTTTTGCATTGCGTTGCACTGCTTTGCATTACTTCGCATTGTTTTGCACCACATCGATTTGTTTAAGAGAATAGACTATGCCTCCCCCCCTCACGAGTATCGCCCCCCCCAGACAGCTGCGAGTTATACCCGGCCCATCGTACGCTGTTCTTGTGAATCCATAGCATCCCAGGCAGGTACTTCTTCGCCCCTTCTCACCCCTGTGAAATAATTCTATGCGCGGACACTCGTTTGTTGCAAAGGTCACGGATCAAGAATATCTTGCCGAAGAACGATAAGATCCACACGCGCGCGCGCACAAGCCGAAACCATACCAAGCACAGCAGTTCTGCGAGGATTTCAAGATTAAAACAATGACCGTCAGTTTGTCATCGCAAGTATTGCACATACTCGGCCCGCGCGCAGTTGCTGAACCCATGGCAAAAGAAACAAACATCTGGTTTTCGCAATCCCGCCCAGCACCCGCATTCTCAGTTCACCACGCGGTACACGCGCGTTGATCCAGCATGCACCCAGTGCACGAATCCGCGGTACATAATACCAAACGGGCCACACGCGCGCGCCGTCACGCGAGCGTGCCGAAAGTTGCCCGAAACCGTCTTGTTGTTCGAAGTATTGATTACGCTGCGCGAGTCCCCACCAGCCCATCCAAAAGCAGCAGCTCGAAAAAGGTGCGCTGACCGTAGGGTGGTTTCTCTTCCTTCTCCCTCTCTTTGGCTTCTTTCTTCCATCCTCCTCTCCTTCTCCTCGTCCTCGTTGCTCCTTCTCTTCGTCCTCCTCCTCCTCCGGGCGTTGCCGTGCGATCTTGGGGCTCTGTTGGGATCTCAGGGAATCGTGGCCTTGGGGCTCTCTTGGGGCTCCTTTGGGAGTCTTGAAACCCTCTCGGAGCTCTTTGTTGGAGTTTGGGAGGTCTCGTGGGGCCATCTTGGAGGCCATCGGGCAAAGAAGAAGAAGAGAGCATTTATTGGTGTACCCCCGTCGGGGCCCGAAATATCGCCTCTTGGAGCCCTCTTGGGCCGCTCTTGGGCGCCTCTTGGGCGCTCTTAGGGCCGTCTTGGGGCCCCCTTGGGCCGTATTGGCCGCCTCTTGGGCCGTCTTGGGGCCCTCTTGGGCAGTCTTGGAGCCGTCTTGGGAGCCTCTTGGGCCGTCTTGGGGCGGTCTTGCGAGCCTTTGGGGCTGTCTTGGAGCGTCGGGAAGCCGAAAGGGCGGGAACGCTAAAATGTTTGAATTACGCTACCGAGGAACCCCACATACTTAACTTAAATCTTGTGTGTTCGCTTAAGTTGATAATCTATGCGCAATTCTGCGTTCTCAGCCCTCGCCGACCCGCCGAACTTTCGCCAACGGCGAGCCATCGCCATCCTCCGCCCCCGGCTGATCAGCTGGGAACCCGCCGGACGAAGGGTTCAGCAAGTACCTAATCAAGCAGTGCCTCCTGGCATCGTCGGCGCCTTTTGTTCGCGGCAACTCGTTGTACCTGTTGAGGAGCGTGTCAGGTCACCAGTTCGTCAGCTGTCGGTGGTAAGCATGAAATGCGCTGTGTACCAGGGCGTTCCCATGCCGGACAGCATATCCGCGCAAACCATCCAGGTTCACCTCGGCGCCCATCTCGAGCATTGATTCCTTGAGCTGCTCGCACGGCGGTGGCAGCGCGGCCATGGCGCATTTGGGCGCCATGACGGGGGCCGTACCTTTGACGGAAAGTCACTAGCAGTCGCCCGCGTTCACATATCGCGCGGTCTGAGCCGACATGAGCCAGGGTGACTACAATTCTTGATGATGATAATGATGATGATGATGATGATGATGATGATGATGATGATGATGATGATGGCGCCCCCCCTGCTTGCGTACCCCTGTGGCCTCAAGAAAATATGACGCGCGCTACGCCCTGGTAGACTGCACCCTCTGCGCACCCCCCATGGTGTCGAGAAACTGCCACGCCTGCTATGCCTGGACGACTGCTATGCCTGGACGACCGGGGCGTCTAGAGCCCGCGGTGAGAGACCACCCCCTGCGCACCCCTTATAATGTCGAGACAGTCCCACGCATGCTGTGCCCGGGACGACGTAGGCGCATAGCGGTCGCGCTGAGGGTCAACCCCCTGCGGTGTCGAGGAAGTGCCACGCCTGCTGTGCCTGGACGACTGGGGCGTATACAGGCCGCGGTGAGAGACCCCCCCCTGCGCACCCCCTATGGTGTCGAGAAAGTGCCACGCCTGCTGTGCCTGGACGACCGGGGCGTATAGAAACCGCGGTGAGAGACCACCCCCTGCGCACCCCCTACGGTGTCGAGAAAGTGCCACGCCTGCTGTGCCTGGACGACTGGGGCGTATAGAGACCGCGGTGGGGGACCAGCCCTTGCGCACCCCTTATGGTGTCGAGAAAGTGCCACGCCTGCTGTGCCTGGACGACCGGGGCGTATAGAAACCGCGGTGACAAACCACCCCCTGCGCACCCCCTTATGGTGTCGAGAAAGTGCAACGCATGCTGTGCCTGGACGACTGGGGCGTATAGAGACCGCTGTGAGAGACCACCTCCTGCGCACCCCCTTATGGTGTCGAGAAAGTGCCACGCCTGCTGTGCCTGGACGACCGGGGCGTATAGAGACCGCGGTGAGAAACCACCCCCTGCGCAGCCCCTATGGTGTCGAGAAACTGCCACGCCTGCTGTGCCCT